TCAGATGCGACACGGCCTGCACGTTTGTTTTCCCACAGCAGTGATTGCTTCAGTCAATTATTATTGCCCATCCTGGAGTGCAAACACATAAGGACTTGATTTACAGTGCAAAATATACATCCTGAATTTACTTCCTCTTTTGTTTTTGGTCTGCCATAGCATCTCCAGCTTAAAGGGATGACAGCAAATTACTTCATAGGTAAATATATCTACATATGAGGAAGGATAAATATCAGTCATTCAGGGCATCCTGAGATGAGCCATTATAGCATTAGATGTGCTGCATCAGATATGACGATATATTTAAAGAGTTTTGCATTTTGTTTTAAAAGTGCTCATTTTTTCTGGTGCCTGAAAAAATTCATTAGCAAATTTGTTGATTTGACAATCTAACCATTAAATCCAGTTTAGCCCAGATTTAAGATTGTACATTCAGTTCTTTAAGCAATGTTTAGGTATTACCAATATACTGAAAGATAGATGAGACAGCCTCATGGTAATACAGCTTTTAACCTTTCCTCTCCTCTACCATGACGGGGGAGAATTACAGTAAATGATGGTTACCTTGTCTGCAGTATGGACAATTGATTTGACCTCACTGCATCTGATGCTCTAATGGACTTCGTGGCTGAATCCCTGGAGATATAAAATATGTCCAAGTGAATTGGGGCAGGTTAAAGAACGGACCTGCTTTTCATGGCTGGCTCAAGCTGTAATAGATCTCCTGGTTGTTCTGAGAAGAAGATTAAAAATGATCAATATCCAAATCATTAAAAGAAAAGTGGTGGCTTCTGTAAATCTACCTTAGCTATATTTTTTTTCCCTGCTGAATGCTGTGGGGGGAGTCTTTGTTGGTGACATGAGTTTCTATAACAAATGTTTGCCTCTGTGCACTTTCTTGTAGTCCCTGTTTTATTAAGAATCAGACACTCAGGTGGCCTGAATCGGCATTGCTTTCCTTAAGTCATGCTTGTTTACACCATGAGGAATCTGGTCTTATGTTTAGTTAATATAGATAAAATGCCAATACTATTATATTTCTTGGACCAGCAAATAAAGCCAAGGACAGATTTCAGAGAATGATGGCAACTATGATAAGTGAATGTCCTTACAGCACTGCTAGCCACAAATAAAAGGCCAAAAATAAAGGTCTCGTTTAAGGAAAGGAAAACAAAAAGATTTGCCTTGGCTGCCCTGAGCCCTTCATTTGGCAAAGTGTAATTCAACATCTTTTTTTATCCCTGCCTACCCTCTCTCTTAACAAGTATGTTTGTGCTCTTTTCCCAGCAGCCTTACAAGAGCTTGTAACATCCCCCAGCTCAGAGACCGGTCTCTCTGCTCACAGTGTGCCAGGCAACTTCAGTGGGATTATATACACCTACATTTCCTTCACTTCCTGGGAAAGCCAAGCCTTAAGAAGGCAGCTGTACAACTGATCCATAGCTGGCACACATACATTAGATAATTATTTACTACACTTGGAATCCAAGAGAGCACCAGTCATTAACCAGGAAAGTCTGACACTGTTGGGATCTGATATTTCTATTTTTTTTAATTACAGAAATAAGAGGTAATCAAAAAGTCTGTATTTGAAAATGCAGTCTATTTTCCTAGTTTTGAGAAATTTAAGGGTACTAGAATTGGACTGATCTAGCTATCTCCATTCCATTAAATTGAGTGAATGTGAAAAATATTCTATTATGAAGAAATAGGCTTCAACAAATTGAAAAAGAATTTCATTTTTTTATCCAGTTGCTTAGCAATGTTTACCTTTTGTTTTTCACACATGGTGTGTTTAAAAATATGGAAGTGTAATGCCATCCTCTGTAAGAAATGTTTGTTTACCTACATGTATTGTCCTGCATGAAGAAAAGCAAAGGCACTTTACAAGCTCTTTGCTTCTCTCTGGGGTTGTCAGTGCCCTGTGGCCTGGGCTGAGCTGAATGCCTCACATCCACGAGGAGAAGAGGGAACAACTGCTGACCCTTGGATCCAGCTATTCTTGTAGCTGGAAACATTGTCAGGGGCTGCAAGCATCAAGCTGTCTGAAAGGCCAAAGTTGAGCACTACATTATTGGAGTAGATGACATTTTATTCTTATTCTGCAACAATTCTAACAACTTCGAGTCCCTGCTGTCCCTTTATGAACACAGGTGTCATTTTGATGGGGGAATAGCCAAAATGACAAGAAGGTGACCTGCCAGTGAACTCTGGAGCAGGTGAGGCCTATCAGCTTCTAATTTGAAACTGGTGTCAGTCCTGAGGAATGGCTGGTATAATCACATTTGTAACTGATCTCCTATAAACTCTGCAAACATTCACAGTGTGCCTGTTATGAGTAATATGAAATTAACAATTCGTGTTTATGACACCAGACACCAAGAGAATCAAGGAGATTTCAGTAACAGGATCGGCTCCGTCGTTCTTCCAGAGCACAACGCCAAACTGCCCCACTCACAGCCAAATGACTCTGCACTTATGTTACAACAGGCATTGCATTTCTTTTGAAGACAAACTTTTGTAACTAGGTGTAAAGTGAGGACCTAAGAACTAATTTGTAGTTGAAATTATTCCTTTTAAAATTTCTCTCATTCAAGTCCAGCCCTTAAGATGAAGTGATGAAGATGAAGTTTTAAGTTGAAGTGTCGGACCTGACAAATCACATACATACTTGAATCTCAAATTTTCTATATAACTTATTTTCTATATAAGAAGGGAAGGCTCTGTGTAAATCTTATCTCTCAGACACATAAATTACCAGCTGCACGAATACTGCCATTAAGACATGCAGACAAGTGTAAGGGGTGGGGACAGGCAGGATGCTCGAAAGAGGTGGAGTCACAGAGAAAACAAGACATTTGTTCACTGAGTAATTTAGCTATGCAAGAATGAGCACCACAAGTTAGGCTGTCAGACTCCCTTGCTTTTCTGGCACCAAGAAGCTTTTTTTTCTGCAAACTAGACTTTTTCTTCTTGGTTCTTTGTTATATTATCTGTAATTTTTTTATTAGGAAAAGTAAAAGTTGCAGTACGTGAGGTTAGATTTGAATTAAAACTGAATTAACAAAAGACAGGTACTTCTGCAAGTAGTCCCTTTTGGGGACAATGACAGCCTCAAACCCAAGAGGAAGACTAGTGGGCAAACTCACATTAATTTTGAGTGTATAAGAAAACATAGGAGCATTTTGTATTGCTGCCACCTGAAGCTCAAGAGCTTATCCCGTGCAGCTTTAAAACACACTAGAAATAGCCAATAACACTTCTGAACCTTGAGACCTCACCAGCCATTCTCCACCACCCAAAAACTCACCTCAAACTTCAGCCATGAGTCCTGAGGCAGGGACTGCAAGCTGTGCACACTGCCATTGATGCAGTTACTTCTGAACATGTAATAAAACAGCTCACTTTAAATCTGATGTACAGCACAATTTTTTGGGTGTCTGGATAGGGCACATAAAACCTTGATAAAAATGCCATCCATTCAGAGCTTTCCTGAAACCCAGTGAAATATGTTTTTGTTTTCCTCCTACTTAAATGGTTATAATTCAACATGTGGTTTAAATAGAGGAAATGAGGACAGTTTGGGCTCTTTGGTGTTTAGGGTTTTTTTAAACCAGTCAGAATTTCTGTACACTAACTTCAGAGAGTTTTCCACAGTGACCAGAAAATCAAGTGGGGAGAGGGAAAAAAAAACCCAAACCAACTATGTTTCCTCCTGAAAGGAAAGGTAGAAAGTAGAAGAACAGGGCAAAAACCTTTGCTGAGCTGTTCAGAGCAGACCCTGGTCTTGAGCCTGTTCCCCACACACAGAAAGGAGCTACAGAGCACATCTGTTTTCATGACGTAGCTGATGGTATTTTGAGCACTCAGGTCCTGCACTTTCCCCTGACCTCACAGCACTACTTTCTGTTAACACAATTACTTTCAGGCCATCCTTGGTTACCACCAGCTTCAGTTCTGAAATTAAACAAAATTAGTCCTTTCAATGCACAGGAATGCACAGGAGCATTTAAAAGCAGGTGAGATGGAGGCAGGGAAAAATGACATTATAAATAGATATCCCCATTTTTAAGTCTATTCATCTGTGTTACATTGGGGTAGAAAGATACAAGGAATGTTGCATCAAAAAGTAAAGAGTTGAGGCCTTTGAGTTTGCCTGTGTGTGATGCTGAACAAAGAGTAGCATTGCCCTTTGGCTCATTGCATGGGAGATATCTGTGCACAGGTCATTCCTGTGTCTGGCTTGGATGTGTGACTGGTCCTATCTCACCCAGCTGTTCTAAATGCTGGCCTGGGAGGTTTTCTCCCTGACCCATTGAACTTATAATTAGCTCTACAAAACTGATTGGCAGAGCATACTGACACCACAACCCAAAGACTTAGAAACTGCTCTGCAAAGTAGGTCCAGACTGTTGCCCTGCTTGATTCCCTCTCAGACTCAGTGACTGTTATTTCACAACTCACTGCACTTTGCTGGCTACAGGGCACCCACACACAAATGCCCCAGTCATGGAAGAATTCCTTTTTTGCTGTATACACAAAGACCACCCCATCTAGGAAACTTTTCCCTCAAAATCAATCCTTTTAAAAGATAAGTTTAAGTTTTTGTGACTCAGTGTTTTCTTTAAGAAAAGAAAAAAAACGTGTTTCAGTTAAAAACCTGTAATCAACTCGACCTGAAATAGCAAAGTTTCCCCTGCCTTTGGCTGCGTGGCAACGTGTGTGCAGCCCCAGGGAATGCATCAGCACCAATGCAGTGACCCAGTCAAAATCCTGGAAGCAGGCAGACAGTAGGAAAGTCATGCATTAAGGAATGTTTGTGTATACTGCTGAGGCAAATTACAGAACTTCCCAGAAATATTTGCAGCGTGATGGCCTAGGAAAGCCATGTGGGAATTGTATCTTGGAGAGGGAGTATTATGGCAGTAACAGAACTAGTGGCTGTATCTCACCCCCTGGAGCTCTTCTTAAATCACCCCCTTCTCTTCTTAAACCCCCAGGAGCCCGAGCTGCAGAGCCAGATGCCCTTGGCACCCAGCTTTTCTGTTTCCTCTCAGTGGCAAAAGTCTGCAGAATGATGACACAGATTTACTCGAAGGAGGCAGTGTGGAAGCAGATCTGGACACATGTGACAGAGCTGGAGGCATCTCACTGTAATTAATCAGTAGTGAAACAAGTAGTTATTTATGTTGCACATCTAATGAACAAGAATTAGTCATGGTTCTGATTCTTGGGTAACTATTTGTGAAGCTTATCTAATACTTGAAAGGAAACTGCACTGAATGTTTTCTAATTCAAAGAGGCAGGGTGAAACAAGAACTGACTTCTACCTTTGACTAAACATTAGAAAACTTGTTTCCATGTTCAGAAGTGTCTGGATGTATTTTTTCATATTCTTTCTTTCTGTGAGTTTTCTTTACTTGAGTCAGGAGGTGAAATGCCAGAAATACCCACCAAACCAGACGGCTCCCCTGCAGGCATTGCAGCCCGATGGGTGTTTCTCCAAACCAGCCCTGAACTCTGAACCTTCAAATCACTTACAGATCCCTTCCACACAGAAACCAAACCACATCCCTGCCTGACTTTTGCAGGCAGAAGGGTGGTGGAGAGCCTGGATCAGCAGAGCTCCTCTGCACAGTCCAGCTGCTTTGCAAATGCAGCTCAAGTGACTCAAGGCTGCTGTGGTTTCAGTTGCCTTCTGGAGCTGGGAACGGAGGAGTTGTCAGACTCTGTTTGTGCTGGATGCTTTTAATGACTATGGAGCTAAGCATAAGCTGGGCACTCATTAGCTCTGCAATTGCCCAAAGAAAACCTTCTCCTTGTTTACTCAGGGTACAGCCTGAACAAAGCTTAACTAGCCAAAGAACTAGGAGACACTAAATTTCCAATTACAAGCACTGTCTGGTCTGATGGTATTTTTTAAGAAACTAAAGCTGCCTGTCTGTCGTGATAAGCTGGTTTTTAGTATGAAATATAACAGTTGTATTGTACATGCCTGCTCTGTACAGCACAATTTACAGAGCTGCTCTGGTGACTGCTATCCCTGACAGTGTGCCCTTTATAACAGGACTTTGTAGCACATCAACATTTTCATTATTCTAAAAGAGTGGAGAAATAAATACTTCCATAGTAGAAAATTCCTGTCAGGTAACTATTGTTGAAGTGTGTATGAGCTTGGATCTCAAAACATTTTTACTGTTAGCTGGTGGGAATTACACTGACTGACAGCAGCAGTTTAACAACTGAGATGCAGCAGATGTAGCTTGTTATTTTACTTGTTTTTCTATTTAACATTTCGAAGCAATAAAGCCTGTCCTTAGAAATGCACGCAGGGTTCCTGCCTCCCACTTTTAGTACCTTTCTCAGGTTGGTATGAGAGGAATGAATGAGAAAAGAGATTAAGAAATAAGGCTTTAACTTAGTCTCGCTACCTGGTGTCAAAGTATCCTGGCCTACTAACAGCACGAGCAATGTACCCACATTGTTAAAATGAAATTTAAATGGGATTTAACTCACTGTTGAAATGAAGAGGACACAGTTTGGGTGATTCCGTGCCTCGGGCCCCGGCAGCGGTGCGGTAACCGCGGTCGGTCCTGGCCGCCGCCGCCGCAGTTCCGGCGCTGGCCGCGAGGTGGCGGCCGAGGCGGTGCCATGGCCGCTGCCCGCGGGCCCGCGGCTCCCGCTGCCGGCGGCGCTCCGGGAGAGCGATCCATTGCTGCCTCCCACCCGCGCTGTCCTCCCTCCTGCTGCCGCTTCCAGAGGCTACCGACAGCGCTACTGCTCCCTGGATCCTCTGCTCGGCAGGCAGGGAAAAAACATTCCCTCAGAATTTACCACGAGTTCGTTACCTTCACTTGAAAACATTACCTGCTATCACACAAGCCCCCCGAAAAATCCCCAGAAAAACCTTTGGCATCCACACGTGCGGCCGCTTACCGAAGTCTCTCATATGCCCTACTCAGAAGGGGGAGGGTGCGAAACCCCCTGCCTTGGGCTGTGATGACATTTCCCAGTTACATTTAGGTGTTCCACGTTTATTTTTCTTCTATTCTTTATTTAAATCCCGCTAAATTATTTCTTCAATGTTTTTGCAGGTTGCTGCAGCATAGAGACAGCAGCTGTAAACCAGCATGTTTGAAAGGTACAGAAGCATTCAGGACAGCAACCTTCCCCTGAGCTGGACATGTTTGTCAGATTGTCAGTGTGCACAGGGCATTGCCAAGGAAGTGATGGGAACTACACTGTTGACACAGCATTAATGTTTCTTGTTTCCTGTCTGTTCACATTATTAACCCACATAGCTGTGTAACACGTGTGTGCTAAAGTCACAAAAAGAGGCTTAAATGGCTGTCAAATGTGCTGAGGTGGTTGAGCCCGCCTCAATTTGTGTTTCCACAGGAGCCTGCTGTGGTGGGACTCCCACTTTTCAGAACAAAAGCATGTTTTTTACCCCAGCTCCAACATCCAGCATGTTCTTAATGGTCTTATAGATCAGGTCTCAGTTGTCATACTCAAATAACAGTCTAAATTTGGACCTGTTTGGGTCAAAATGGTTTAAGGATAATATTGTGGATGTCACAGGCTTCTGCCTGTGGCTCTGGCATCACAAAAAGCAGTGACAGTGCTCAGTGTCAAGATGCACTGGCAATGAGAGCAGCTCAGGACTGCAGTAAACCCTGGATTCAGAATATCAAAGCAATGAACAGCATTATAAAATACTAGCAGAGAAGGTAGGCAGATGAAAAGGACAGGAAATAGAAAAAAGAAGAGGAGAAGATATGGAGAAACAAAAATAGTTGAGAATATAGGGGAGTTAAAAGGCACTGATCTGTATTTTTTGAGCCTATTCATGTGTGTGTACAAGGGCATGCATGTGCATGTTACCCCAGCACATGCCCATAGGAACTGCTGCTGGACAACAAATAAAGAAAGGAAATGTGGGAGGAGATGAGGAATAGAAGAGGAAAGTGGTCTAGAATAAGGAAGCCTGGTATTTTTTGTCTTTGAAGACTGGACTTGCATGAAGACTTGCACGTGGAAGAATTGATTGTTTTGAAAATAAATGCAAAGATTCACTCCTGGGTAGAGCTATTTCAAAGCAGTGAAACAGCAGGTTCTAAAAATGCTTTTGAACAGTAACAGTGAAAAACTCTTAATGGTAGCACAAATAAGGTAGTGTTAATGAATTCAGTCCTTGCTGGTAAAATACTGCCGTGCTTTTTAAGTCAAAATTTCAAACTGTTTTTGTTTGTTTGCTAGGAGTTCATCTCTCTTTTTTACTTGCTTTTAATTGAATGGGATTTTGGTTCTGCCTGTCATTTTGAAGAAGCCTGGAAAAGAGGGAAAGGCCCCTGTGAAAAATTAATTTAACAACCAAATGCTGTCCCTGAGAAACCAGAGCAGTTCCTCTGTGCCAAGGGGGACCAGAACAGAATGAGGGGAGTGAGAAGGGAGGGTCTGTATGCTCCTCACAGGCTCAGCTCTTTCCCAGCTCCCTTTTGGCCTTTATAGGCCATTGGCAAAAATTTTGTAAAGTGTTCTGAAATTTTAGAGATTTGAAAGAGGCTTGTCCACAAGTGTCATGAGGAGCTCTGGGTAGTGGAAGCTTTTAGCTGTGCCTTATTTCATTTACATGCCTAAGGAAAAGTATCACCTTGTAAAAATCTGGCATCAGTGCCAAGTGGTCAGGTTCTGGTTTATCTCCTAAGTTCTGTCCAGGTTTCCCCTTAGAAAAATGGAAACAAAATCCTGTACTTGGAGTACTGCTCCCACACATGAAGTTTCGGTTTGAAGTGAATTAAAATCACCAGTGGATCTGTTCAACACTAGTAAGGCTCTGCCTCAGTTGCCAGGAAGCCTTTTTTTATGCCAGGGTGAAATTTGTGGTATCTTTTATCGGTTTCTCTAATAAAAAGATTTTCCCTTTACCCCGTCTCCAGGAGTACAAAAGTCACCCTGTTTGCTCCCAAGGACGAACCCTAGAGAAATAGGCCAGTCATTCAGACATCTGTTTAATCCACATCCAGCAGATTGTTTCCTTACCAGGAGATACCAGCTTTGGAAGAATTTGATTTCAGGATTCGAAGCAGTTCCAAAGACCACTTGGGTTTGACCTTCAAATGCCTTAGATAGATACAAGCCTTGAAAATGACCCTCTGTGCCCTGGGAACTGTTGTGGGGGAAAAACACCACCCAGGGGGTATAGTCTTAACTATGCTGAGTCAATGAATTGCAGTGCTCTAAATCAGCTGAAGATTCAGTTAACCATGAATAAGTTTCCTTAAGGTAGGAAAATGCAATAGTACTAAGGCTTACAGTTAGTGAAGTTGATGTTAAATATATGCACGTGCCTGTACAATAGGAGAGGAAAAGAGGTGGAAGAGGAGATTTGTAATCCAGTGTCAAGGAGCTGAGAAGACACATCCAGGAGCAGAACATGGGTTGAGCAGCATTGCTCAGAGTCCCAGCACTACCATGCACCCAGTGCCTCATGAACATCCCAGTGCACCCCATGAGGCTGCCAGGAACCTGACAGGAATAACAGGTGGAGCAGCTGGAAAGCTTGTCCAGCTCTCACTGGCAGCATTTTCAGCATTGCAAACAATTGTTACCTGAACTTGCACCATTGATGCTTCAATGGAAAATGTCCAGAAACAAATAGAGACTTTGCCAGACCTTCCCAGCAGCACTGGGGTAGAGTAGGGATCTGAGATAAGTGTGATTTTTGTCTCAGCTACAGCTGATCCCAACAGTATGCCGGCAAACATCTTTAATGAGAGATAGGGACAATAAATTCTGTGCCTATGTGTAGGCAGTGGCATTTTGGTACTGGGGGCAAAATGCTCTACAGAAGTCAAGGCACTCTTTTATCTTTTCATACACCTTCACAATTTCATTTCCAAAGACAGCTTTTTTGTGAGCTCTCTGTGATTCCCACTGCAAGCCTGAATAGTTACTATGGCTCATGTATCATGTATATGTTTGCAGATCACACCGTGTTCTGAGATCTGCTCTCACAGCATTCAGAATGTGCAGCTGCAAATGGAAATGTAGGAGGGGTCAGCACTGAGCGGTTTGCATTTAGCATCAACTACTGGAATCCCAAAACTAGAAATGAGCCAGAGGAAACCAGCAGCGCTCTGCTTTGCATATGCTTATGGCCCAGGAGCAATTCCAAGGACCCAGGTCTGATTTCCCAATTCTGCACATGCACTCCTGCAATTTTTTGCAATATCAACACCAAGAATTATGTCAGCATCTGAGGGCTGGATTCAGATCTGAAACTAATATTTACTTCTGTCACTTAGGATTAGATGAGTTCTCTGTGATCATTACCTTAAGAAAACCAGAGCTTTATCTGTAGAATTGAAAAATTGTGTTTGAACAGAAAAGTCACAAGATCTGCAAGTATATTCATGTTTCTCCAAGTCTCACTGCTTTCAGTTCAGGTTCCTAAATTGAAGCAAAATATGTAAATCTCATCCCTGTTGTTTTATGTCAGTGACAGAATTTTACTCCTGCTAAGATTACTTCTACTGTGACATGAAACTGTGTGAAAACGTAAATGAATATAGCAAGAAAGTCAAAGTGTCCATGCAAAATATATTGACATACCTGCTCTGTCTTCCTAGGCTTTTCTTTCTGTCTTTATTTGTCCTGTTTCTTGCTGTGACCTGTTTTGGTCACTCTCAAATTAAAAACCTCATTTACAATAAGGGTTTTTTGTCAAATTGATGCCAGCTAACAATTTCAGGCACAAATTGAAGCTCATCAAGACTGGCTGATTCTTGCAGCTTGTTGGATTTGAGTTCCAGCCACAAATACAAGGAAAGTATTTAACAGTACTTAGGAAATTGTTTTAGTAGTAGATACATGAATTGTAGACCAACACACTGAAGTTATGTAAAGCCTACAGCAACTTCACGATCATGAGTATTTACACAAGCTGACTAATCCAGAGAGCTTTCACCAGCCAGCCACAGAAACACACAGCTGCTGTGGTTGGTTCATGCAGGGTTTGTGTTGTGAACTTGGAATCCTTGCCACACTCCTGTAACCACTCTAGCAGTAATTTCAGACAAACTGCTCATGAGGTGACAGCCTCAAAGCACAAAAGAAGCTTCAATGCTTTAGTCAAAAAACATTTTTTTTTTCTGTAAGGCTGTAAGGACTAAGTAATCTGTGCATGTTCTTGACTGTGAATAGCTCACTGTGCCTTCTAAGCCAGGCTCTGCAGTGCCTATGGGCTGGCCCATGAAACCATCCCAACACAGCTCTGCCACTCACCCACTGACCCAGGCACCCCCTGCTGCTCTCAGTGGGGTGCTGTTAGCCCAGGCCTAGTCATGTATTGGACAAATCCCTCTTATTTTTGTGTATGTGTGAATATATTCACAGATATATTCTCTGTTATTTAGTCAGAGAACAGCAGAATATGTTTATGTGAATATAACTGTGTGATATCTGAATATTTCAGTGCTCTTTGGGATCACACTTAGGCCAGTTTGTCAAAATTTGGGGGAAATCTCTCCCTTTGCATCATTTCACCAATTAAATGCCTCATCCTTGTATTTGTTTACTTTTGGGAGTGCAGCATAAACTTGGGTGCAATTGAGACTCTGTGAGGTCTTGCTTTACTCATGGAAACCAAATTAAATTGATCTATGAGCCAGCATTGATCCACTTGGGACAGGTTAGACTGCAGGGTAACTGTGATGCCAGTTTCTGTATGGCCCATGTAATGTGTTCATCTGCACAGAAGTCTCCCAAATTGTTTAAAGCTCCTACACCAGCTGTATTTTGAGATCCAGCTGAGAAGCCTCAATTTAGTGTCCATCAGGAACTGAGTCCAAACTTGCATTTCATATCAAAGCATGTCACCCTATAACACTTCTGTCATTTATGCAAGTCTTGTAACTTTCTATTTCCCCAGATAACAATTAATATAATATTCTTGTATTTTTAAAACTACACAAATACAAACAAACTATATATATATATGTGTATATATATATGTATATATATATATATATGTATATATGTATATACCCTAAACCTAAACTCCTACTTTACCTTGATTGGAAAAACTGATCTTAAGACTGGGCTTGTATATGTTCTTGATATTTTTGCAGGGTTGCAAGGTAGCAATGGGGCTTAGAATTCCAGTCTCAGGGTCCATCAGTGCTTAACATTTAACAAGAAACTGACACTTGTCAGTCACATCTATTGTAGGTTTATACGGTGCATTTCCCCCAGCTATCTATGTGAAGAGGACAGACACTGTATTAACAGCTCTCAGGTACTTTGAATCCTTTTCCTCCCACTCCATATTCTTCTATGAGGCAATGAGCTCAGGTCAGACTCACCTCAGTGTTCCAGCACATGAGTCTGCGTTTAGAGGCAGAAAATCGGAATCTTCGCACTGCTGACCTTATTGTTTCACAGCCTATTGATTGCAAGTCATCAGGTTTCAGCAGTTCAAAGGGATCAGCCTCTGGAAAAGAAAAGCAGAAAGAAGGAATGAACCCATACACAGGACCAGGGCTCAGTTGCAACTGAACTGACAAACGTGTGACCAATGTAACGTAATGTGGAGATACAGTAATGAAAAGAGCGTCCCTAATTTCTCATGTGCAGCCAGAAGTTTGCACACACAGACCAGTGTGCCCTCATGGCCTGCAGGGAAGGGAATGCTGGCCAGGACCAGAGTAAAGGCTGAGCAGGACAGGTGTCCCCCTCCAAGGGCTCCAAATGAGCAGAAGTTCTGTTTTTCTGCCTGTGGACCCAAGTTCACCTTATGCTTTGGTGCAGAGAGAGCAAGAGGCACCCCCTGAAGCAGAGCCAGGGTGGAGAACCCTGTGAGTATGTGTGAACACATCCTCCACATCCCCAGCCAGAGCCATCTCTTTTCTCATCTCAAAATCACCTAAGTCCCATTAGAGGACACCCAGTGAAGAACTCACTTCACCTCCCCAGCACTCCTCAGGTATCCCTAGAAAACTTTCCATTTCCACAAAAGGGTCAATGAAGCTAAATTTCTAAATTTATGTATAACTTATGAAGGTTTAGACTAACAGACATAGTTTGAAGAAGCATATCTTGGTGGGTTTATTAAAAATTGCTTTTCTTCTACTAATCTTAATCATTTGTGATATTGCATGCAGTAAGAAGAACTTGGAGACATCAGTTATGGTGCTTGGATTCCAATCTAATATCATTTGATATTAGACTCATCAGGGCTTTAGAACTCGAGTGAGGTTGAGAATTTCAAGTGTAGTTTTTGATAAACTATTTGCAAAAGAGATGTATTCCAAATGTTTGCTCATTTAATTAGAACATAAAAGATTTTTCTCTTTGACTGGAGCTTGCTTCTGACCCTTCTTGCCTGTGTGTGGTTTGTATTGTTCTTGGCTAATGAGATAAAGGATATGTACTAAACATTTACACATTAAAGGCATCTTCATTCGGCATGAAGGTGTTGATACATCAAGGATACCTCAAACATGCTGAGATTCCAACAACTTGTCAGACAAATTAGCACCTTACCAATTGGGGGTAAAATTGAGTTTCACATTTCTCCCTGGTGGGAAGAAAAAAATCAAATATCACTGTAGTTTAATGCTTTCTTTGCAAATAGGAACACAAAAGGCTTTATCACGTCTGTAGTGTAAATTATAGCCCTCACCAACTATCTGATTTTTAATTCATTGGTTTTAAATGATCCCAGGCAGCTCAGAGCAAATCCATTGTGTTATTCCTCTCTCAAAGCAAATATCTTCCCTCTTTTAAGTTAATATCTTTCACAATTATTTAAAATTTACACTTCTATATTAAAATGGAAAAAATGAATGTCTCAAATCTGTATGTTTCACTAGCATATAACTGCCAGTGGGGGGTTAACTCTAAGCAGTGTGTGGAATTATGAGACTGTGTATGGCAATGAAACTAAAAAGGTCAATTTTTTTATTTCTTTTTTTTCAGCTTAGTAGTGCTTACAATTAGTGCTCAGTGCTTCAGATTGCAGGCACTCTGTATGAGACATTCATCCCCAGAAAAACCCACTGTCAGCTAATCCAGCCTAAGCAGGTATCCCATAGGAATAAGTGGTCTGGGAGTGGGTGCTGTAGACACTACAACAGGAACCAATTACTGTCCTTTATCTCCAAGCTGCAAATCATTTATATCCAGGGGAGATCGTGGCATAAATTCCTGCCTGCACAAGATTTGGGGAGAAGGGGTTACTATCATAAACCTCTGCAATAGGAATTATTTATGCATTACAAGGGCTTGCTTTAACTTACATAGCTGACCATGACTCAATCACAAATGTGTATTTTCTAAGATTATGAGGTCAGCCAAACAACATATAATCAAAGCAAGATAGAGCCATAAGTTTCACAGAGATCATTTACAAAACAAAGTTTCCCTTCAGCAATATCTTCAGTCTCAAAAATCTCAAATTTAGCAGATTTTTTTTCTATATATACACAAGATGGATATTTAGGGAGGATTTGCCTGGTTAAAGCTGCTTTTAACCCCATTCAGAAGGAATTTTCATTGCAAGAATGTTATTATCAGCCCTTCTAATTTGTCATTAAACCCTAATACCTAAACAAGACATACAAATACCTTTGCCCACACCTGGTACCTGCACCATGGGACTCTTATCCTACCGCCACAGTTTCTCCTTTACTGGCACAGGACACATTAACTGGTGTTCTGTGTGCAATCATCATGGTTCAAAGAATCAGAACCATATTAAACTCATTATAGAATAGCTGCCTGGGAAAAGAGTGTTACCAGAACATGTATTTCATTCTGAGCTGCCCTTCCTTCTCTGCAGGTATGTTTTTCAGAATTCTCAGCACAAAAAGTGAGTAGAGCTGTTAGTGCTCAGCATCCATAATCAGGTAGACAAGGGCTGCTGAAGCACAGATATGGGATTGAATGCTGACAGTTTGGGCATTGCACAGGTATGTCAGATTTGTAAACCAGATTCTTATACAAAGAACTTCATATAAATATCTGCAGAAAACCAGATTCTATTTTTCATAGTTCATGTTTGTGTGGAACGTAGAGCAGTGCCCCTGCTCAATAACACATATCACATTAAAAAACTTGCACAGGTTTTTGCCTTGAGAGAAAAAATATCCCAAACAAAAAGATGCAGAATCTTCAAATCCTTAAAAGAGACAGTTTTTTTCCTATACATATAGTGACATGATTTATAAATATGTAATTAAAAGGATCATAAATCTGTAGATAAGTGTTGGTATTTGACTGAAACACTAATGGCAAGCATTAACTGCATGTGGTCTGTTGTGTGGCTACTGGAATCAAGTAGTGAAGAGGATCACAGTTCCTTATTAGTTAGGACCACCTAGAGTGATGGAAAGCTTGAATGATCAAAGAGAAGACAGTTTTATGCTGCAAATGTTGATATACTCCTGAGCTTTCTAACTCATTTTAAGGTCCAGTGTGAACACTTGGCATGCTAACTACTGAGCACGGAAATGAGTGTAGTATTAGACTACAAAAGTTTTGTTTGCTTCAAAGATAAGTGAATAATATTCAGTGTTATATTCCCATCCCTTATTGGATCACAAAACAGTTTTTTATTAATACCACAGCTCAACAACTTATTTTTGCCTACCTTAAGCAAGAATAAATTAGTATTTCTTGCTAATAACAGCATATAAAAGAATCTATCCTGCTTTGTCTGAATATTCACAGTGATCACTGCTTAATTAGGGTGAAAAAAATTTCATTACTTAATTTCTTTGTAGAAACCAGATTAACCCAGAGTGATTGTTTACTTTTCATAACTTAATCACACAGTCACAGGGAATTATTTCTGTCTTGTTTGAATAGCTGAAATGTTTCAGAGAGGAGGAATGTGTCTCTGCAGTAATGCTGGTCATGAAAACCTGCACCTCATGAAGGTACAGCTCTTCCTTGAAACACATTTGTGAACAAAAACCCATTCCCATGAGTGTCAATGCTAACAAAAACATGACTGAAACAAGCTCTGCTTTGGAACTGATGTAACACTGAAGAGTGAGAATTGTCTTGCAGAATTCAAGTGGCTCTAAATTCTGTAAGCACAGCTTCAATTTATTCACATATATCAGAAATCATGTTGTTTGGAGCTGTTCGGACTCCAGCCCTGAGGCTGTTCAGGTTATGGCTTTTGATTCTGGGATTCATCAAATAAAATCTACTCTGGATATAGAAAAGCCTTCTCATTCAAGTGACAGGTGCTGGAAAGTAGTCTCTGTTAAGAAACCTGAACAATGATTTTAAATTCTATCTCAGGAAAAAACCTTTAACTTCTGATTGAATAAGAGTAGTGATCTCCTCTGAGGGAGTTTTCACTTAACATAACTGAAGACATAAGCAGGAGACACATGCAGTAAAATAACAACCTGATGCTCCCACTGAGGATGAGTTTTAATGAAAAGTTTTACCCTCCTCACATATCAAAGCTCTTCACAACTCTTGACCTGATAACCTTTAAATTCTCTAAAATCACCAGAGTTTTAATGTGTTAAGCAACTTGGTATAGCGGGTATAATTTTTTTATACTTAATATATTTATGTTTGTTATTTATACAACATATAAACACTTATTACTAATTAACTGTGGAATATATTTAATGTTTTCTCACTAAATAAAAAACATACACCAGCAGGAAAAATATTCCCAGATATTATATTTGTGTTCTTTGAAGCCTGCAATCAAGTAGATAATTCTCAATATAAGATGAACAACTGCCTAATCAGAAAAGTTGTCCCTCCCTCCTTGTCAGTATCTAAAATCCATTTTCTCACTCCTAATATGTCAGGACGGCTCTGTTGCAACATCTTGACAGAAGCTGCAGAGAACAGAGCTGTGTGCATGGTCATGTGCTCCACTAAAAGTCAGCATCACTTCACAAAATCCTTGAGCTTGGTGTAAAGATGCCCCAATTTCATTGGAGTTTGCTTTTTCAGACTACTTAATGCTGTACAAAACTACTAGAGAATCAGGAACAACACCCAAATTCTGCACTTTTGAATGCACAATGATTGGTCTGAAATTCAACTAGAAAACAAAATATCCATGTTCAGATTTGAGGAATTAATTTAACCTTTTTGAAGAAATTGGAGGCTGGGGCTGTCAACTTTGAACCATCCCCATGTTTAAGGTTCAGACCTCATTAGTTTTGGCTAGGAGTACTCTCTAATTACTAAGAGAGTTTCCTCAAGTTGCACTTTAGAAATTCATCTTTTTGTAAGCTGTAAAGTATTCATAAAAAGCTAAAAACTGTGGGAAAATTAGCATTGATGGATGTTTTCTTACCCTCCATCAGGAAATGATGTACTTGAAACTCATTACAGATCTTCACAGCAACTCTGCTGAATGTGCCTTGGGCTTTGTGCTGATCAGCACACAGAATTTACTGCATAATTCATCTCTCTTGTGTCACATTTAATGTATAACATGTATTTCCTGTTAATTATGAAAATAAGAAGGCGTCCTTTCTTTTGGAAACATAATCATGAAATTACTACAGAAATTAAGAAACATGGAGTTCTCTATTACCTCCTGCACAGAAACAGGAGGAAAGCACTGCAGTGAGAACTCACCAAACGTGATTTTCTTCGTGATGCAACAGGCACAGCCTCTCCATGTGGCCACACAAGGAGAGGTGCATGGATGGGATCCCTGTTGTCCTGCCAGGGTCACCCTTCTCACTGGAGCTGTGGTTTTCCATGTGGTCCCCTTAACTTTCTTCCACTGAGAGAGGTTTGGATGTTTTCATGTCTCTTTTCATGGATGTCAATGAAACATTAGGCATCCTGTATCTCATTTTCCACATTCAAGGTTGAAGATTATTCAGTAATATTCTACTTCACTTCACCCATCCATCTCCATGTGTCTGTTCAGCTTCCCTTACTAAAAGAATGAAGAAACAAAAATCCCATCTCAGCATCATATCCACGCCAATACATCTTATAGATTATGTATTATCTGCCATCAGGGTAGGAAAGTGAAGTGATGGAGCAGGAGAAGGAAAGGAGCAACACCATAAATCTAAAAACATACCATTATTATTTGGAATAAGAAGGGGGCTCATCAGTACTCAATGGTACATTTGGCTTACACATTTTCATTGACACATTGATTATTTCCCTTTAAAGAAATAATCTGGTGCTGGGATTATTTGCTCTGCATCTCTTCCTCAGGAAAGTTTGATGGGGCCCTTGGAGACCACATATTATCTCTCACTTATGGGGCAGTCCCATAATTCTCCCTTTTCAGAAACTTTCAGGTGATATTCCCTTTTGTCTCCTGCCCACATGAAAATCTTCATTCATAATTGTTAGCATCAGTAAAGCTGACAAGCTGCCTAGAGCAATATCAAGTTGTGGTATCAGTAATAGTGCTGGTGATCTCTAGAGAGACAAATGAGTCTGGATAAAAAGACATATTATCAGTATTAGCTTTCAGGAACTAGGATAAATTTCCATTTCCTCACCTGAAGATATACCTGGGGCAGAACCCCACTGAAACAACCCTGCAGGACAAGACCACAGCTTTGGTAGCTTCTTCTCCAGAAGATCTTAACTTCACTGTTCTTTATACAGATAGTAATCATTTTACTGCCAGAGTTGGTGGTTAAAGTGATCTGGCTGTTAAAAAAAAATGGCCTGAGGGGAGATTTCATTCTGATACAGCTGATCTCTCTAAGAAACAGAACCAGCCTTGGCAGGAAGAATTTAGGTGTTTTCAACCTTCACCTTCAGGGAGGCATTTAAAATCATGTGAGAAAACTGTACACTTAGCACTTAGTTATTGTAGTATCTGAATTTCTTGTGGCATCCTTAAACATCAATTCCTACAGTCACATGGCTGTGAAATCATCCAGTATGAGTTTTATAAAAATACTCTATTCACGACTGTGAGAAAAATTTAGGAAGTGACTTCTAAACCAATACAGCCAGGAAGAACAGATATACAAAATGTATTCACCAAACTGCAAAAACATAGCTTTGAAGTCAATCTCATTATTTCTAGATACTTAAAACGTATTTTATTGAAGTGTGTGATAGCAATGCTGCAATCAATTCTTGGGACATAACTTTTACCACTCCAAACCCAAACATACTTCTTACAAATCAGTGGCATAAGCAGTCACTCCTGCCTTCTCAGATGGCTGGACAATGCCTTTTCAACCAGTTTAGAAGGTGAAGATGCAAAATGTTTCTGAATAATGTAAGGAAACATGAAACAACCTGTAAAGAGAAAATATAATGAAATATTCTTTTATAAAATGCAGGGGTATAATATCATCATCTCACAATAGAAGCTGTTCCCATCATCTTAGCATTTCACCTCAGGGCAAATTCATAGATTTCTCTTTTTTTTCAATGTATTGATTCTTTTTTATATCCTAATTGAGTTTTAAGTAATTTTTTTTTGCACTTTTTGCTCTCAGGTTAGGAGCCTTGCTTTAGAACAGCCCATTTTATCATTACATACTGTATTTATTTTATATTTCTTGCATTCTTAAGGATATTTTGCCATGAAAGTTTATTTTGTAATTTTTTATCTACTGAAAGCTGATTTAAAACATTAGACAAAAAAACAATAGAGTTATTAAGACATGTTCCATGCTATAGGTCCAACTGCTCATAATGTTCATAGTTTTTCCTTCCAAGCCCACATATTTCACTAAACCTTGTCTTGTTCTATTTCTCACCCTTGGGTTTCTTTGACTCTTCACTGGCATAAACAGAGAGACTGATATTCTTTGAAAATATATCTGCACAGATCATTTGTTCTTGAGGTACAGGATATTATTTGCAAGAATATTTTATATAAGAGCTGAATTATTGATAGACAGCTTTAACATAACATCTAGGGCAAAATATTGTTGCTATATTAAACTGTATTGTATTACTTTCAGGTCAAGTGATGGAATAGTTTGATCTTTGTAGCTTTGATCACAGAGATTCAGAAAATTCGACAAATCATATTGAATCTGTCAGATCAAAATGTGCACCTTCTTAGTTTTGCTGAAGAAAGATTCCACCAAGTTCTAAATTTAAGAGAGGAAAAAAAGAGTTTGTTCTCTCTGTAGAAATAAGGCAGCTCTTCATGCCCCAGTCTTTTAAAGTTGGGAATTCCTGGCCAATAGAATTATATTCCTCTAAAAGAAAGCATATAACAAAGTTCCTATATAATGAATGCACAAGGGAATTTTAAATACAATTTGTATGAAGGCTTCTCAAAAATAAAATTTTTTAACATTCTCCAAAATTTCTGACAGTACAATAAACAGCCTTATTGCAGAGAGACACATTCAGAAGAGACTCAGCCTCAAAGAATACCAAAGAGCATTTCCCAGATGTGTTATCCCAGGTCTCCTAAACCCCCATGCTCCCTCCTGGCTCTAATTTAAATGTTCCATTGGTAATCAAGTTGAGAAGAATGAAACCCATGGCCTGATTCTGAAGCCCTGCAAGGTTTAACCTGGCCTTTTATCTGGACCAAATGTCCATAGGTGTAATGGTGCTGGGTCAGACCACAGAGCCATGTCCTGGATCCAAGAGTGATTATAGTTGTAATAGTTGTACACCATGGAAATACCTATGGAAGGGCCCTTTTTTAGGTCAGCTGAGGATAAGAGGCAAAACTATCCATAGCACCCAGTGCTCTAATTTGCCTTAGCCACCCACAAAGCATTGCTAAGATTATTCACACAATTTTCTCCTCAAATTATTTGACAGAGTATTAAAAACAATAAACCACCATAAAGAATAGAATTATGCCAGATTTTCCCAGCTCATCAAAGGGCACTTCTCCTGAACATGCAACTAGGCTTTTACATGATGGAGTTTTTGCACAATTTTTTCATAGAACTTATAATATAGCAAATCTTCTCCCACATCCTCAATATCTCACCTTGAATCTAGAGACTTCTCAAACCAAAGCTCCTCCTAAGTCAATTTAGTTGTTTTCATTCCATATCACACTTTATTGCCTTTATGCTTCTCTCAAGAATGACAAAATGATGTGGAGGAAGCCAATTGCTGATATCTGAAAAGGCTGCCTCACTAGGGGTGGGATTTATTTCCACAATAAACAGTTGGAGGACCACTTAGCAACTATTTCAGCATCCTTTACTCAAAGGAGGAGTACTACCAGAGGGTTAGATAAGAGGGAATCCTAATTTCAATATCAAACTATTTAACCACAAACTAATGTCTCCTGTGCCAGACTTGTTCTTCCTCTTAGAACTGCACGTCACTGTGCATCATGGAAATGAAACAGCAGATGTTTCCAAATATAGAGGCAGAGCCATTGTGCTTTCAGCTGTCTTCCTGGACTGCAGACATACATTATAACTGTAGGCAGAAAGCCTTCTAAAATACCTGACAAAATTGGCGAGGAGGTCTAAAATTTTAAATAATGAGCATATTCAAAATATTTATAGCTGATATTTGAAAGATGCAAAGCAGGGAAGGTGGAGCTGTTAGTAACATCATTCCTGCAGCAAGTCCTTTTAGATAAATCCCTGTAGAGAGTCCAGCTGGACGTCTGCTGAGGAATTTGACACTGACATCCCTGGTAGTCATTCAGTGGGTGCTGGCTGATGAAAGATACTGAGTGCTCAGTGTAAGAATCCTGTTGAAAACCCATGGCAGCTTTAAAAACAAAACCAGGTAGTGGTTTCCAAAAAGGAACCAAGTATATTGTGAACTCGATACCCCTCTCAATTTATAGTCAATCTTTAATCTGTGAACCCACCCACAAAATAATTGCTAGCTGATTTTCATTGTATGTCTTGCTGAAAGAGAAAAGGCAATTGGTGATATGATGCACTTTCACTGTTAGAAATATCTGTGCCATTTGGAAGTGATGGAGGAACGGTATGAGCTGGTTGTTTAGGACTGTGGCTCCTCAACATACCCCATATTAAGATTATTTTTTAGTTAGAAGGATTTGTTATAAAAGATAGGTATACATAATATTTATCCATTTTTTTTGGAATGTACATGACAAAGAATAAGTTCTCTAAGATCCATGGTTACAGTAACTAAAAAGAAAAGCATTAGAATTGAAAATGCACCCAACCTCAGAATTTGCATGGAAACAAAACTCAGTAGCCCCAGGATTTCCAAAACATATGTCTCTGGGGCTCCCTGAGCTGTTATTTTCACCAAGTTTTGAAGTCAGATGGAAATCTCATTATTCCAATCCAATGAGTGTAATCTCCTCACTTTCCAGTAAGACAACGGCCACTAGGAGATACCTTTTACTGTATCCCAGAGCATATTGAGAAAAAGTGTATATGCGATGAATACCAGGGTGGTCTTCAGTAGAGACTGAAAAGACAAGTTCAGAGTAATTGTAACTGCAAAATGTCAATATCTTATTGATGTTACATAATTTTGCAGACATGGTATACTGAAAAAAAAATCTGTGGAATGCTCAGGATTGCTATTTCACTGAAGTGAGAAGACAACATCACCATGGTGTAAAGAATCGTAATTTCTTGCCATTTATCCATACATCTGCTTATTTATCAAAATTTGATCTACATACTCTCATTTGTAATTTGTTGATCTTATTTGGAATTTCAGAAACAGGAAAGCCTTTTTGCTCTTCTTGGGTTTGTTTTGCTCATTTCACAATGAAGATTTAGTTTTTATTTAAACTGGATGGCCCAATATATTCAGTTCAGCTGCTAGATTGACTGTCACTGAGTTGTCAAATGCCTGTTATGAATAGTATACAGAAGGAGAGCAAGTTGACCTTGAACTTGCTAAATGCTTTATGAATACTACCCATTTCCAGAAAAATGTGAATCTGTTTTCCAGATTTGCTCTTTTTGCTTTCCTTAAGGCTGTTCTCAGTAACAAATGCCTTTCATCTTACTGAGCTGCTTGTTACATGGAAGGTTTGGGAAGGGGAAAACAACATTCTAATGATGAATTTAATACTTGTAGATTGTAGAGGATTGATTATATTGCAAAACTGAATTCCTGGACTTGGCCAAAGGCTATTAAGAATATTGCGTCTATAATGTCAGCCTTGCTTCCTAAAATCTGTCAAATTTTGGGGGATAGTTTTTCATTGCTGGGCTGATTTGGGCTTGGTGACTTTTCTTTTAAGTTCTATTTTCATTGCTAAGCAAAGTCAGAGTGGATGATGCTATTTGAATACAATAAATAAAAGCAATCATGTTTTTGATCTGGCCACAAGCCTTGTTTCCAAAGATAAGAATGGGACCTTAGCGCCTCCAGCTGGCGTTGGAAACACGGAATCCTTGTGCATATACCAAAGGACACAGCAGGAAAGGGGGGCAGTTGGTGCTGTAGGGTCCAGGTTGTGACCAGCAGAGAAGCACTCTAAATAGAATTAATTTAAGACACTATGTTCAGTACTGGATTTTATTTTTACTGGATCAAATACTTCAAAAGTAAAAAATAGCAGCTAATTTACTCTGCCATGAAATACATTGGTTCCTTTTCAAAAGCTACTTTCAGCTCTTTCAGAATTTGTGGGCAAAGTGGTTTCTAGCTAATACATAGTTTTAAATGCTGTTTTGAAAGCCTCTTGCATGATAGAGTTCATAGCAACAGCTTCTGCTACTGCTTTAAGAGCACAATAAGGTTTAATAAGAAGGATGCACTTCAGTTCATAGATTGCTTGTTTTCCGCTTTACTTTAGTCATCATAATCTTTACCTATGCTTAGCTTAAAAAAAAAATCTGAAATAAAAAGGGCAGCTACCACTATTGATCTTCTCTACTCCACAGCAGGTTCCCTTGATCTGGATCGAACCTGTCTCTGTCAGTAACGGCTTTTTCAGGAGACAGTTCTATTTAAAATGTTTCACAGGGCATCTAGTTATTTGTTCATTTGTCAGGAATGGTGGAAGAGACTATAATAGACAAGCAGCCTCAGCTGGCTGCTGGATGTAAGACTAGATCCGGTCATACCACAAAGACAGAATAAGTATATATTTTCTGTGCTCTGTGGAAAATAGATTTATGGTACATCTTGACCTAAAACATATTAAAAAACCCATTATCAATATTAATTGAAATGTAAAATTTCCTTAGGAATTTCATTGCAAACATTTTTACTCTAATACTGTTTTTGATGTTAAGAATGAGAGGTGAGTGGCATGGGCTGCAGTATGGTACACATGGCAGCTATCAATTCCCTGCTGCAAGATCCACTTTCCAGCTGAATGTAAACGGAAATGTTTCCTGCAG